ACTGTCCAACACACTCAGTACAATGCAAATTCAATTTTATAGTTCACGTCTTGCGACCCGGTCGTGATGTCACGATGGTCGAGCGATGATCCGTACCAGACGAGGTTGTTAATCCAGGAGTCGGGAGCCACTTGACGTTCCGGCATGGGACTTAATCGACTCTTACTGACGTAACCGTTCAGTTCGCTTTCGATGATTGCTGATCATTTCAGACAACGGGGAAAGACACGTCAGACAGTGTCTCTAACGTTCCTGATCCTGTGCCAGAGTCTGAGCTTCAGCAGAAGTCATCTGGAATCTAGAGCAGACTCCTTCCGTATATTTGGACCAGGTTAATCTTGGCCGTCCCCTCGGCCTTTTGCCCATCGTCTGGGAAACAAATAGTTGCTTGTCTTTCCTTTCTGGACATACTCGCAATACATGTCCAAACCATCGCAGCCGTGACTTCTCAGTCTGAAGAAGCAGCAGCGGTTGTACGCCAAGGCTCTTGCAGATTTCTGTTCATAGGGCCAGCGACTCGTCTCAGAAAGCCCATTTCAGCCGCTTGTACCCGGGATCGAAGATTTTCAGTCATTGTCTACGACCCATGGCGATAAAAATTGATTATTGTATATCTGGTTTTCTATTCCCCATTTACGACAGATGATCGTCCGGTGTTAACGTTAGATTTCTGTTAAATAAATATGTTGCTACTTTTCATACTGCTTTAGTGTTGCCTTCATAGTTTAGAAACGTGGTCAAGGAATTCGTCGTGGTCAGTCGCTCAGGCGACGGAAGAGTGTCTATATGGACGGTGTCGCATAACAGTCTTTTCTTGTGGGATTCTAGAGTGTACTTATCGTAGCAGATTTGCCTGAAACGCATAAAGCGATCTGTTGTCTCTACAGATTTCATGAGGGTCTTCGCGGATAAGATAGCGACTGAAGAAGTATACTTTACAGTGGCATGTGATCACTCACAATCATCATTGTCGAAGTTGAATTTGTACAGATTTACTAGAAATTTCTTAACGAAATTTCGATCTGGGCCTACCACTGCTCAGTCAGATATTTTCCTGAAGTTGATTGTAAAAGTTCGTCCTCTGCTCTCGATTATGCGCCCTGTCAGTGAATCAGTAGAATATTCTGGAACTTGACGTTTGAGGGTGCGGTTCAATTGACTGTAATTAACCGTCACGCCATTTCGTGTAAAAGCAGATACTATCGTATGGGTACAACGGAACGTCACGCGCAACATCCATCTGTCAGTCGCAACTTTGGATACGATTTCGGCGATTCGAAAACAAACGCGTCAAAAAATAATTTAGGACTGGGAAGTTAAGAATCTTAGGTTTACATCGTTACTCCTTTTTCATATTGAAATAATATAACTGCATAATTGCTACGGTGAAAGCATGGTCGACTCTGCGAGTGATTTTCGTCGGTCTGGCTATACTTATGCAGAACAATGCGGTTCTACTTAATCGCTCAATCCTATCGTGCATCTACCCGTGTCAATCGCCATTTCAGATGGGATTTAAGCTCAGTGTGGAACGAAGGCGACTAAAGATCACTCAGAACTAGTGAGTTGCTATGTATCCTAACATTATTACTCATTTTTACATAATCGCCAACCTTTTTCGATCTGGCGTTGGATAAAGTTCTCCAAAAGTTTCGATGAACTTGTGTTTCCTGCGAATTTTATCCATGTTGTTTCAGTGAACTTCAGCTCATCCTACGATCGACCTGGAGGTCTTCTACCGGGCAGTTTATTCTATCTTGAAAAAAGTCGGTCTGTATTTCACCGGTGGTCGTTCCTTGTAATCTGCTCTGCTTATTGCCACTCTAACTTCTTCACTCAGGCAATGAGATCTGACACTTGTTCTTTTTGCTCTGACACATTCGTTCGCCTTCCT